ATATACAATTTTGTAAAATTATTTTGTTGAAGGTATTATATACGATGTAATTGTTGAACCACCTAGTGTAGGATCAACAACTGATGAGCATGGACATACTCGACCTGTATGTTAGCCTAAAGAAATATAATATTTATATTTTTTTATATATAATATAATAATATTATAAGTATTATATATGTTTATTGCATTATAGGTAGCATTCATGCCATATCGTGTAAATGGACAATATATTATGGAAGGGCTTGCATCTAGTTTTTTATTTACTTTAGGAGGAATTGGCTTTATAGTGTTGGATCAAACGCATAGTCCCTCAACTCCTAAACTAAACAGGATTCTTTTAATATGCGTTGGATTTATCAGTGTTATTGTATCATTTATTACCTGCTGGATTTTCATGAGGATGAAATTACCGTAAGACTAAAATAAAAGTATCATTTTATTAGTTTTATAAAGTGTATGAGACAACCTTTTACAATTCAACAGATTATTGTATAAATTTTAATAGTTTATATATTAATATATTTCTGTTGAAGTTATTCAGAGATTTAAAACAATTATGATATTGGTTTAGTTTCTTGAAATAGATATAAGAACTGAGAAAATATTCATAAATATTATAGGTGTATACCTATTCTGATTCTGATATTCTGAGTTCCACAATTATTTTTTGGTTTTGTATAAATTCTGTGTTTTATAACTTATTTTTTTTGTTGTGTACCAGTGATTTGAATATAGAACCTAACTATAACTGATACAGAATAAAAATAACATTTATTAAAACAATACAGATCTAGTAGTTTATAACCAATCTTATTTTTTTCGTAACTTGTTAAATTAAATTGAAAAACAATGCCAAATTGTACTTATACCTTTTGATTTTTGTTTTATTTTGACATTGAGATATCTTATTTTGAGATATCTACTACACATAGTCAGAAATCCTGCATATATGATATTCATGTTTTTTATATTAATAAAAAATTTTCTTATTAATAATATTAATAATGTTTCTTTTTTAGGGGATATCTACAGTTATAAACCTAATCTACGCTAGTGTTCTTCATTTTTATACGGATATATACATTTGAGTTACATGCAGTAATATACACTATTCTATTATATATTAGAGGTATTAAAAAGAATGTAATTTGTACATAAAATAATAATAAAAATATTTTACATATATATATAAAAATGACAAACTTTTCTGATTATTGTTTTCTTTTATTCTATTTTACCTAAGACTTTTAATGCAAATATTTTTAAATGTTGCATAAAAGTAATGTTTTCTATGTATATCTGATATTTCAAACTTAAATATGGTGGATGTTTATAAGAAGTAGAAAAAATTTAGCCGAAAAAAGTAATAAACGTGCCTATATAAATAAATAAATAAATTATTACGAAAAAATACACTAATATTCAAGATTAAAAGACCTCTACATTTTTGTTAAAAGATTACTCGAATTCAAAGTAATATGACTTTATAAAAGAAGTTGTACTGTAGTCAGCCTAGGATATATTAAAGCATCAAATCTCTCCTTGCAGAACTCACATCCATTATCCACTGTAACGTTGTTTTCATTATGTAATAATTTAAAAAAATAAACAGTTTTCGTTTTGAAAATTTTGTAAATTCAAACATTTCTCTTTTACGATGTAGTTTGTGTTGCAGATCACGCTTTTGGATGTATAATAAAATACACTTGTATTTACCTATATACACATGGCATCTGTATTAAGGAATTCATCCGTGTTGTTGATGCACGTATAAAGATTTGTGTTCACAGATCCACGTATAACACATTACACGGATTTCTTTACTACAAATTTTTCTATTTTTTAACATTTTAAAATTTCTGGTTTGTTACGTAAGTCTCTTTTCACGCGATATTCTCTATACGCGGTATTAATTTACATGATCTGAATTTCGTGACACCGAATAAAATTTACTTTTGTTTTCTGAAATGTTATTGCTATTATTATTTTGTTAAGCTATATGAAATAAAAATGTATTTCTGATACTTATACCAGCGTTTCTTTCCAACATTTTGTTTTCTTTTATAGTGACAGATTCTACTTATACGATTTTCATTTGCGTAAAACAAGTCCACGTGGGACAGATATACTTCGCATAAATCAAGGGACGGATGCAAGTAATATTCACTACATTTACACTTAGATCTCGCTTTACACAATAATTTTGTATTATAAAAAATTGTTTAAGACACGTCAATAATCAAGAAATAGCGTCACAAATGTCAGTAGATTTGTTAATAAAGTCACAGCTATAACACTATACTATAACAGACAATATTAACATACATGGTGATCACAAAATTCTTTCGACTTATGAATTATTTTTGTATCTATTGATTAATGTTAATATTTAGTGGTATCACTTTTAGCATTAATTACTTGTTACAGTCGGTGATCTATAGTTTATGCTATGTACAGGGTGGAAAGATGTGATTCTAGATCGTCCGTTTGATGGAGATTGAGGTAAAGAAATTGCCGCAAAGTTCCCTTTGCCCTTTAAAAAAAGGGTTACAATTTTGTATTGTGCTATCGTATTCTATTCATCACAGAGGCAAATAGTTTGAAAAGAACCGTGGGTAAAAAATGAATAGTTTTCTTGTAAATCGCTGTTGAATTTTGCGTAAGAAAGTAAAGACACGTGATATCGATTGTCCTTTTCTGATACACTTCGTCCTTAAGAAGAATGGGATCGACATTGTTTATTGATCGGACCATCGCACAATGAGGTATTCGTCCGATCTGAGCAACCAAAAGTTCATTTAAAAAATTTTTAACCTAAACCGAAAAATATTTGCTGCTTGAAATAGTTGAACATGTAAGGAACAATGATTTATAATTTGTTTTCCTTTGAGCACTCGTAAAATGCCGAGCTATTTTAAGTTAGACATTTTTCGACTACGCGTTTTACTCTTGAAATTTCTCGCAACATTTTCCATATGTTTTAGAAAAGTTGTACGAATTTTTCTTTACTATCAAAGTTTTCAGTTCATTACCTTTTTACTAAGAATCTTTATATAAATGTCCACATTTTAACATAATACATCATCGATAGTTCATACAGTTGTACAACTTCACGAATGATTTTGTCATAGATCAGAGTGCGTCCCAATGTTCTTTCAAGCACAGCTGTATTCAGTAAGATTTTGAGATTATTATTTAAAAATAAAATCATCCGCACACGTCCGCCTTTTTGTTCTGGAACACTTTATTTACCGCACCTCGGCGCGCCAGTAATCGTTTCAGTGTTTGTAGGCGTGGATCCGCGATCGTCTTTTGATACCTCTTAGGCGTTATCGAACCAATTGAACGTACCTATGCTTGCTTCGCTGCGTGATTTCCGAAGCGATTATACATCCTTTTGCAAATCAACCAAAGAGCGATCTTTAATCATGAATATATTCATTTATTATTATTTTTTCACTTTTAGCTGCTTCCTCGCTTTCCCACTCTTTTATTCTCCGGCTATCCTGTCTTGTTCTCTCGCTTTCTCGCTCCCTTGCTTTCTCATTAAAGGTACTGCTTTCTGTTCTTTATTTTTTTAAAGATTTCAGATTTCCACAGGATCCAGGGGAACTCCAGCTTATTTGTGAATATAACAACTATTTTAAGGTTGATTAATTTGCAATTATGGGATTTGTTGAAGCAGATATGTAATGCAATAGTTTACTTTTTATTTTAGTTCCTTCTTTCCTATAATCATACTTTATAGCCCTAATTTTTGTTGGTAATTTTTTAAATTGTATATAAATAGTGAAAATTTATTTATATTACGTGAAAGAATATTCTCGTTTATTAAATATTAATTATTTTCATTAGTATAAAAACAGTTTTGTGAAAAAAATATTGTAGGAAGTTTGGTATTGTTGGTGATAATTAATGTTCGAAACACTCAAAGTTGATAACAAAAATAATGACAAAACAGTTTATTAACAAAGACTATAATAAAAAGTTATGCCGCGCATGCATTCCCATTCGCTTTTAAAGCACATCCTATTTGCTATGTCTTTCTTACGCTTACACCCTTCTCATTCGCACCCTAACCTTTCGTCCATAGCCGAAATTCACGTGATCATGTACACGCTTTATTTGCACGGTTCCAAACACTCTTCCTTCGTGCTTCTCCAGGCACTTGACTTTTCATTGCAAGGCGATACCGGTCACCTACAAGCATGTCCGACCATTCATACCTACAATATGTTTACATTAAAGTATCAATTTTTTTAGTTAGGTCCGTCTGAAAGTCACTTCATTTTCAAAAAACAGCTGGTCGAATAGATGTTAGAAGAGCAACAATTACCTCTGCAAGAAAAATTATAATTTATTGAAAATTATGTTGCGAAATACAAAAATTATTTTGAAGAACAAGTTAAGAAAATCAGACATCGATTTTCGTATGTAAAGAGCGAGATTAGACGAAGATGGCCGCAAGCGCAACATAAGAGGGATTGATTTTTCTTAAAAAATAAGGATTGTCTCAAAAAATCATTTGAGTTATCGAAAATTACAACGATACTAGGTCGATCAAGAAAAAACGTTCGAAAAATCAAGCGAACAAAGCAAAAGAAGAAAAACAGAGGATCTATGTAATTCCGCAAATACCGAACATTTTCTTGCTGTTGCAATGATAAAATTGCAAATTGAAGAAAAAAAAGACGCTTCTGCCATATTGAAAGACGTTACTCGTTCTCCCCAACGAGTAATGAAATATAAAAAAGCATTTAACAGCAGTTTGTAGAAAACTTGCCGGAAATTATCAACATTGAAAGTATTATCAATGTTTGTTCAAGCAGATCTGTCTAGGAAACAATATGACCTTATTAGACAGAATAATAAGAAGATGTAATCCTACTATAGTAAAATCCAAGAAGCAAAAATAAAATCTGTGTGTAAAAACGTACAGAACTAAACAGAAATAAATTTAAAAGATCCATTGAAACACACAACTGTACGATTACTGACGTATTTGGAAGAAATTCTTCAAATACTAAATGCAAAAGAAAAATACAATTTAATCTTAATATGCAAATGAGGTTGTGATGGATCACAGCAATCACAGTATAAACAAAAATTTATTGATTACTGTGATTCAGATATGTAAATCGTACTGGTAATAGTAAAATTAAAATTATCTAGCAAAATCTAACGCCTTCATTGCCAAGGTACTGCAGACTCATTAGAATCAGATTCATCAAGGAAACTGTTATGTAAGCAATGAAGATGTTAATTATATATAAAATATTATCAATTCATTCAGAAAAGCGGAAATAATTTTCAAACATGGAACTGCATCTGTAGAATATAAAATGCTACTAACGATGATTAATGCTAACATGTGCAACGCCATGACGCACACTATATCAACCATGACATATGTTATATATATGGAAAAACATTCAAAGATTTTAATAGCTTGGATGTAGAATTAATTGTAAATGAAGAGTCATTGCAATTTGATCTATCCATTTTACAATCAAGAATCCTATCCTTTGAAAGTTTAGTACACCTGGCATACTAATTGCCAATTAAAAAGTAGCAGTTACGATTCCAAGACAGAAAAGAAATTTTCGCTAACAGAAAATTAGACATTCAGGATCAATTTAAAACAAAAATGGGTCTGCTGGTAGATATACCAAAGGCTGGTTTTGGTAACACCAATGATGGAAAAAGCAGTAGAAGATTTTTTGCTAATCCTCAAAAAGTAGCAGAAATTACGGGGTTAGACATTGGATTAATACATCGAATTAAAGTAATTTTAGAGGTAATATTCAGTGGACATGAAATAAATATCAAAAAGTTCACTGGTACACAATTGATACAGCGAAATTATATGTTAAACTGTATCTATAGTATCCAATGACACCCACGCTATATAAGATTCTTCTCCATGACTCAATCATTGTAAAAAACGCCTACTGCCGATTGGACAGTTATTGGAAGAAGCAAATGAAGCACGAAATAAATATTTCCATTTATGTCGGTTACATCAGGCCAGAAAATTTCGCAGACCGGCATGTAACTTAGATATACTAAATAGGCTGCTTTTCACTTTTGATCCTCCAATAACAAGTATTAGATCATCTCCGAAGAAAAAATCGAAGCTATTTTTAAAAGATACCCTGGAAATGCTTTGGCCA